CTAGCACTGGACATGGGACCTGCCCTACATTGTTTCCTCTAGCAACTGGACATGAAAACTGACGTACATTGTTTCCTCTAGCAACTGGACATGAAAACTGACCTAAATTGTCTCCTCTAGCAACTGGACATGGGACCTGACCTAAATTGTTTCCTCTAGTAACTGGACATGGGACCTGACCTAAATTGTTTCCTCTAGCACTGGACATGGGACCTGCCCTACATTGTTTCCTCTAGCAACTGGACATGAAAACTGACCTACATTGTTTCCTCTAGCAACTGAACATGAAAACTGACCTAAATTGTTTCCTCTAGTAACTGGACATGGGACCTGACCTACATTGTTTCCTCTAGCAACTGGACATGAAAACTGACCTACATTGTTTCCTCTAGCAACTGGACATGAAAACTGACCTACATTGTTTCCTCTAGCCAACTGGACATGGGACCTGACCTACATTGTTTCCTCTAGCAACTGGATATGAAAACTGACCTACATTGTTTTCTTTATCAACTAGACTAATCTACATCTAAAGCATAGAATATTGTCATTGTTGCTTTCTTTAATAACTATATTTGGAACTCGAATGTGGATTTTTAATTTTCTTTTTCTTTCGTACAACTAAATATTGATATTTTCCATAACGATTAGATATGGATCACCAATGGATAGTGTTGCCAGAAGAAAGAATGCCACTAGAGAGACGACCAACACCCTAAAAGCCTGGCTGTACGAACACAAAAAGAATCCATACCCAACCAAGGGTGAGAAAATCATGCTGGCTATCATCACTAAGATGACACTGACACAAGTGTCCACGTGGTTTGCTAATGCCCGGAGACGGCTGAAAAAAGAAAACAAGATGACCTGGGAACCTAAAAACAAGTCAAATGAATCGTCAGATATAGACGAAGAGAATGAAGATTCGGTGGATGAAACTGCCTGTAATGATGTAAAAACTGAGAGGCTTAGTGAAAAAACGGACGAAAGTAGAAACTGTAAGAATTATCAACCTATACTGTAGTCTGTTTTTCTGTATAACTCTATATTTTTTTAAATCCTAGCTAAAGCATCTGAAATAAAGAGTAGCACTGGTGCTGATGCTCTTCATCAGTTACTGTGTAAGAACTACGAAATCTTCCTGTTCAAAATTTGGATTTCTTCTAACCAAACTATACCACTTTCATTCAAAAATAACTTTTTTAGAAAATGTTTGTTTCCGAGTTTTCCTGCAAAGCTCCACAGTAGTTATCTGCAGATAGCCGCTTCTAATTTTGTTTATTTTTGAATTTTGTGCAAAGCTACACGAGGGCTATCTGCGCTAGCAGCCCCTAATTTAGCAGTGTAAGACTAGAGGGAAGGCAGCTAATCATCACCACCCATCACCAACTCTTTTACCAATGAATATTGGGATTGACCGTCACATTATAACGCCCCCATGGCTGAAAGGGCGAGTATGTTTGGTGGGACGGGGATTCGAACCCGCGACCCGCAGATTCCGAGTCGATCTAATTTCGAAGTAATAGACTAGAGAAAAGGCAGTTAGACAATAGCTCCCATCATCAATTCTTATACTTGGCTTAGTGGTTGGCGTGTTGAGCAGCGGAACGAAGGGTCCAGGTTTGGATATGCGGTGCTGCTGAACACGCTTCGCACTTTCAATTGTGGGCGCGCTATAAGAGTGATAGTCAATTCAGTTATTCGGTTCGAAATAGTAGGACAAAGCCCTTGTGGCGGCTGATGGTGCTGGCTTGCTGGCTTCCCTCTTGCCAGTAGTTCAAAATTAGAAATAATTATACCTGTTACCTAGGGATCTCTTAACTAATTGTTTAGCCCAAATGTGCAAGGTGTTGTACAGGTTGAAAATTCCAGTTTCAGGTAGATAAACGTGTTAGATTCTTCTACAGTGTACATAAGTTACAGGCATGTATATAAATAACATGCTTATTAAATCGTTAGTATCACAAAGACAGATGTTTGACATTTATTTAAACAGTTGTGTTTTGGAACTAGAAATACATCTTCACGTGTTGCTTTATCTAATGACTCCTGTCTACCTTCGTCATTGTATGCTAATTGGTAGAACATCATAGTTTATATTATGCATACCTGAACGTCTCTTTACGAGCTGTTCTTCACAACTCAATAAACGTAGATTACAGGATTGCGTATTTGTTTCGTTGTTTTCAATTTTCGCTCAAAACTACTCGAGGGCTATCTGCGCTAATCTTCCCGAACTTAGCAGTGATAGACTAGTGAACACCATACACCACCAACTCGTAAGTTACTTTTTTACCTACGAATAGTGGAATTGACCGCAACTTATAACGCCCCCACGGCTGAAAGGGAGAGGACGTTCGGTAACGGGAATTGGAATCCATGTCTCGCAGATTGCGAGTCGAGCGTTAAAACGTATACTTGATTTTAAAGCTCAATAGGAACTCCGAAGTGTTAAGACTAAAGACTTTATTTAACAGATATTTTATGCATTAGATAACTTAAAGATACCTTCGTCAACAGGGGCCAAAGGTTAAATAATTACAATGATCTTATAGGATTTTTGCATAAGTTCTTCAATAGGAACAAAAGTTACATATCGACAATGTTCTTATTGGATCTTTGCATACAACTAGACATACGTTTTTCAACAGGGAATAAAAGTTACATATCAACAATGTTCTTATTGGATCGTTGCATACGACTAGACACACGTTCTTCAACAGGGAATAAAAGTTACATATCAACAATGTTCTTATTGGATCTTTGCATACAACTAGACATACGTTTTTCAACAGGGAATAAAAGTTACATATCAACAATGTTCTTATTGGATCGTTGCATACGACTAGACATACGTTCTTCAACAGGGAATAAAAGTTACATATCGACAAGGTTCTTAATGGATCGTTGCATACGACTAGACATACGTTTTTCAACAGGGAATAAAAGTTACATATCAACAAGGTTCTTAATGGATCGTTGCATACGACTAGACATACGTTTTTCAACAGGGAATAAAAGTTACATATCAACAATGTTCTTATTGGATCGTTGCATACGACTAGACACACGTTCTTCAACAGGGAATAAAAGTTACATATCGACAATGTTCTTATTGGATCGTTGCATACGACTAGACACACGTTCTTCAACAGGGAATAAAAGTTACATATCTACAATATTGGATTGTTTTATATGACTAGACACTAGTTGGTGCTGTAAACAAGGAAGATTAAGAATCCCTTAGTTAAATTTTGTTCACATCTCTATCTTTAATTTTTTCAATTTTTTTAAGTTGATCAGATGTAGATTTTCTATTTAAATTTCTTATTAAGTTAATTCTAAGTTAGACGAAGTAAATATATTGTCATAGCTGATAAAATGTCATTGACCAAAGACTCAATTTCCTAAATGTTTTGTTACTAACGTAAGCATGCTTGTTTTCTATTTTTCTATTTAGAAGATGTTTTTCAGTGTTTTTCAAATGTACTCCTATGTCATAGATAATTTTAGTAGATTTCAAAATTGAACGTTTTTGAGGAAAGTAAGAAGTAAAAGGGTGGCGTAAATTAGCATTTTAAATCAATGTTGTTGGTTTTTCCCCATCTGATACAGCAAACGACGTGATTACACCACAACTTTCAGTGGACGATAAATCTGAAGATAGTAAAACAAACGAAAGAGTTCAAGACGAAAATTGTAATTCCATATTCCGAGAAGACATAAATCACTCGTCACCTCAGCATTTGTCAACAGAGCATGCGCAATTCCCACGGTCCTCAGTCAGTAGGATGTACGATCAAGTTATGACTTCTCCAAATTCAATTCATGCAAGTAGTTCTGGTTCCCACAATCCAAGACAAAAGATTTGGTCATTAGCCCGCACCGCCACATCAAACAGCCCCCCTTCTCTAAAACGTCCTTCTCAGATTACTTCAAACGGCCTGTCGGCTCTGAAATGTCCTTCTCAGTCGACTTCAGACACTGTTTCGGCTCTGGAACACCTCCCTCAGTTGAGTTCGGAAAATCCCTCTTCTTTGAAACATTTTTCTCAGACAAAGTTATATACTTCATCTTCATCAAAACAATCCAAAGATGTTGAGCCATCTAATTCCTTTGATTCAGAGATGAAGGAACGTTTCTACAGGTTTACCATGACTGAAGGGTTTACCAATAACAATGGATTAGTGTCTAGTTACCCTGACCACTGGAACCTCAGTCCTGCTTCGAGAACTTCCAGCCCTGCCAACACTGGTCTAATTATGAATTGTGAAGCAGGAATAGAAAGAGTTATGCCTGCACACGTGGTAACGACAACAGCACGAGAGGTGACGCTCCCGTGCTTTTCAGTAAAACATCCCAATTATTCTTTAGACTCAACAGTCAGAGAAAGTGTGGCGAATAATAGCAAATTTCCTGAAAGCAGAGATTCTTTACCTTCTGAAACTTCTTACGAATATAGACGGTCTCGGGAAAATGAGTTGAGTACGATTGGCTCTAGGTTAAATTTGAATGGTATCCCAGAAGTGATTTGTTCGACAACGGTCAACGTAAGAAATAAAGAATCTCACATTTCTGGATGGGAAAACTATCAGAGAACTTTCAGTGATAGCAATGGAGGTAAGTTATCATTACAAAATTTATATACACAAAAAATATTACTACTAATACATTCATAAAAAATTTGTTTCAGCAGTAAAAAAAAAAAGATTAAATACTCGGATCGTTTTCTCGCAACCTTGCTTTATCTTTACTTACTGTTCAAGTTATTTGGAAAAAAAAATGTTTATGCCGTTATATAAAGGGAAAGACAGTGCCTTCTGGAATGCTTCTAAAGATTTTGCGACTTCAATTATTGGAAACAACTCGAATAAGTTGGTGTTGTTAGAGAAGTTTCAAATGTGAGACATTGTTTTTTAGGTAACTCTGGAAGTACAAGCTATTAAAGTAACTTTGGTGCGAAATTCCTGTTGAGTTATAAACCATAAATCGAAGAAAAAGATAACTGTGAGTAACCAGAACACAGGTGTTTCAATATTTTAGGAAACAGGAAATATATGTCACCAACGGTTAGTTTGGGTAACCAGGAAATAGATTTCGCAAAACGTTGGTTTCAGTAACCAAGAAACATGTATCACAAAGATTAAAGTAACCAGAAAACATATATCATAAATGTGAGTTTAAGTAACCAGGAAACAGATATCATAAACGTTAGTTCAAGTAAGAAGGAAATAGATATCATAAACGTAAGTTTAAGTAACCAGGAAACAGACATAAACATTAGTTTGAGTAATCAGGAAACATGTATTATAAACGTTAGTTTAAGAAGTTAGGAAACAGGTATATAAATGTTACTTTGAATAACCAAGAAATAGATATCACAAAAGTTAGCTTCAATAACTAGGAAATAGACGCTAGGTTAGTTAAGAATAGCTAGGAAATAGACGCTAGGTTAGTTAAGAATAACTAGGAAATAGACGCTAGGTTAGTTAAGAATAACTAGGAAATAGACGCTAGGTTAGTTAAGAATAACTAGGAAATAGACGCTAGGTTAGTTAAGAATAACAAGGAAATAGACGCTAGGTTAGTTAAGAATAACTAGGAAATAGACGTTAGGCTAGTTAAGAATAACTAGGAAATAGACGCTAGGTTAGTTAAGAATAACTAGGAAATAGACGTTACAAAAGTTAGCTTGAGTAACCGTGACACGGATATCACAAACGTTACTTTGACTAACTAGGAAATAGGGATCGCAAAGGTTAGTTTGAATAATTAGAAAACAAATGTTACGAACGTTTGAGGCTATCAACAATCTGAAAGGCCCTGGGCAATATTGTAATTCTAACCACCCAGTAATCATTCTCCTACAATTGAATAATGAAAGCTCAAGGGGAAGATTTTCCTGTGAACCATCCTTTACGAACTAATCCTTTACCCATTAATCTTTCTCCCACAGTCACATATGTACAATAATTTATTTTCCTGTCCATTCCTACATGAACATCTTGCCGCTGAGATTTTGAGGCCCTTGCTACACCATGAGTTTTGTGACAACTGTTTCGTTTGTTAAAACTCAACTTGTAACATCTGTTTTTTTAGGTATTCAATTTCACATTGAGCGAGAATATAAAGAAAAAAACGTTTGATGTACCATTTTTTACCATTGTTAAATCTTAGTTTACTATTTCATATGTCATTTCTTTTTTTCTTTTTTCTTGCTGTATAAAACTTACATAACTTTTGGTAAGTCTTTTTGATTCACGTCATAGCCGAGTTCTGGGGCCCCGTTTGCCCCACTTTTCCCAAGCCACTACAAGTGTATTACGAGCAACTAAGAAACAGGTGTTACAAACATAGTGTGACTAACTAGACAGCATAAGCAATTTCAATATATCTTAATTTTATACCACAAACAATCTTTTATACACTTTTTGTTTGCTCAAGATTTATTGGGGATTTTCGCGCAAAGCTAACTAGGAGGTTTTGTATATTTGTTTGTCTGTTTTGAGTTTCGCGCAAAACTACTCGAAGGCTATCTGCGCTAGCCGTCGCTAATATAACAGTGACAGACTAGAGGAAAGGCAGCTAATCAACAACACCTACCGCTAACTTTCTGATCTTTTCTGATAGACTAGTGGTATTTGACCATTACTCTTATAACACACCCACAGCACATGAATCAGGATCTTTCAATTTCACAGTCCGGACACACTGGACACTAGGCTACGCCCTGATCGGCTTTATTAAAATAGAATCACAATAGCCAGGAAACTTACAAAAAATAAAGTCGATTTTTTTTCTGTTTAAACTGATTTATATGTTATAAGAATATTGTTGGCAAAAATAAAGGTTTCGCAAAGAGGGGGAATATTACAAAAAAAAATAGGTATTTATATTTACCGAATACAAAAAAGAATTTTTAGTTAACTTGATCCCACAACAAAATCTATTATGATCTGAAGAGCATATGGACGATAAAGTGTGTTTTTTACGTATTTTCGAAAAAATTTTACCACTACGCAGTGAAACAGATTTTTATATATTGCGCTGTGTGTCTTTTAACCGAACAAATGTTATCATATTGTTAATATTGTTTGTAAGTCCAAAAATAAGTTTAAAAATATCATTTGTGCGGAAAGGTATTGCAGATAAAACTATCAATTACTGGGCGTTTAATAAATCAGATATTTATAACAAATATTATTTTCTAGAATTACCGCCCGGCTCTGTCGTCCCTTATTCTGCGTTTGGAAGCTTTAAGAATTTCGGCACAGGAAATCCAACAGCCTTTAGACCAGTGGGAATAAGGTAAAGAAGGCAGTAATGCATCTAAGTGTTTAATTTGAAAACAGTTTATGTGTGTAATTTGTGAAAGGTTCTTTCTTACATATTTTAAATGATTGACGTCATTAAAGTATCCTTCCGCAGTATCGTGTTCAGCAAAGTTACGTATTATTATGGAGTTTTAATGACAAAACTTGTGGGTTTAAAACGCCATGCTTCCTCAGTAAAAAAGTCTAGATACCGAAATGTTAGTTTTATTAATTTCATTTATACAGAAACTAATTTAACCGACTGCTTATGCAAACTGTAAAGAATGACCAGAAAACAAAATATGTTCCAAACTCTTTTAGTCTGAGGCTCCCTTGATGTGAATAATAAAGTTTGAGACCCCCCAACCTATAACTATAGCATGGTAATTAAAAAACAGTGCCGTAGTAAAAAGAATAACATCTCCTCTCGACATACTGTATCATTTACTTAATTCACGACCCCAACTGTTTTCAAAGACTCTTTATCTGGACAAAGTTAGGGGAAACAAACCCATAAAGCTTCATTACTATATAGTAGCTCTCCTACTATATCAGCATTTGTAGTTTAGATACAGTTTAATTGTTTGTAACCATTCATTAATAACTGCAACAAAATTATTAATAAATGGTTACTGACAGACAAACAATTTCAAACGTCTAGTAATTTCGTTTATAAATGAAGATTAGACAATAAACTATATGCATTAAACAACACAAAGTTCAATAAATTTTATATGATATAATACAACCAAGTAAAGTTTTTACAATATATTTTTAAGATTTTTTTTATCTTTTAATTGATACTTTTGAGATTTAGCGTCGTTACATTATGGCTAGTAAATCTGAGGCTTTTAGGTTTAGCGCTATTACATTGTGCACTTGTGCCAAGATACACCATGTTATAAGGATTTGAAAGTTTCCGAAATTTCTTGTCTTGTTTTTCGGTTGCTGCAGTAATACAGACGTGTAGAAAGATTAAAGCACTTTGGCCTAAGTTACGTCCGAATATAAAAGATAGTATCTTATATCTGTGGCACATCAAGTTAGTTAAAAGCAATATTCTTTTAGCACAGTTAATTGTCATAGAAAAATACAATACAGCTTCAAGGCTTCGAAATAAAACAACTAATATCACTTGCAAAACTGGCATATAAGGATATATAAATTGTCATATAAAACTAATATAACGCCAGTCTCTGAATTGTCATAAAAAACCATTATATCAGCTTTAGAATCGCCATTAGAAGAATATAATATCAACTTAAAAGCCAGCATAGAAGAGCTTAATATCCGCTTTAGAATAGACATATAGATATATATATATATATATAGCTTAGAAGGACATATCAGCCTCGAAGTTGTCATATAAAAACATAATATCCGCTTAAAAATTGCAACAAAAGAACACAATATCATCTTAAAAGCTGCCACAGAGGGGTATGATTTCAGCTTCAGAGCCCCTATAGAATTTCATAATATCAATTATAAAACCATCTTAAATAAACGTAATATCTGTCTCAAAACTGTCATAAAAGAACATAATGCCAATCACAGAACTGCCATTAAAAAAAAAACCAATAACGAGGGAGCATCAAGAATACGGCAGATAACAAGAATGATCTAAAAAATGAAGTTAAGCTTACTATAAAATAATATTAGCATGTAAACAAAAACTGGATGTTACAAATTAAAACAAATATTCGGGAAATTTGCTTTATCAACTGAAAGATATTTTGTGTTAAACTTCTTTCATTCAATAGAGAATGGGCTTTTTGTATGTGGTATAACATAATTTATTATCATTGGCCTATTAAATAGAACGTTTATATGGGATTTTATGATTTAATTCTAAGAATACCTTTAAAAAAAAGTAAAACTTTTTGCTTAGGATAATGAGATAATTTAATGTCCTATGTATAGTCTCTCCCTTCACATTCCATTTCACAGAAGTTTAAGTTCGTTAGCAGTAGAAACAAATGATCATTTAATTAAGAACATGGTGTCCCATGGTGTAGAGTGGTATGAAATATTTTAAAGTAAACATTACATTTTCTTCAGCAAACATTCTGCATTATAGCAAAGAAAATGTTGAAGGTGCTCGAATATTTAATATAACCAACTTTTATAGAACATCCGAAAGGTTAATGTGAAATATTAAGAATGTTCAGAAAAAAAACAGCATTTCAGTTCACGTAACTCTACTATATTAAATTACAATCAACACAGACTAATGTCGTTGAGGTTATGTGTTGTAACCTAACACCACTTCTCAACACAGTGCCAGTTTAACACGACTCGTTTCCTCCATTAATACCACTTCGGCAAAATACAGGTGTTTCGTTATGCATTTACTTTGCAAACCGCTAATCTAAAAATATCAGTCGTCGGGAAGTGTTGTTCACACAGACCATATGCTTAGGAGAGGATCATTAAAAATATTAAAACACATGATCCTAGTTCAAGGAAGAACAGTCAATTTTGAACTGTATATTTGCACTTGTTACACGACGACCAAAATTGATAGCATCTTTAGGAGTGGACTGATACTAACCTTTTAGTGCGATCCTTCCCCAGCTGTAATACGCTCATATGTAATTTATTACAGAGAAAAATGTTGTTTGTTGTTGAACATTCCTTAGATATATTCATTTGTTTTTTACATGTGACTGCAATTTACAGTAAACTGCCCTTCCCTATCACACCTCTCCTGAAATTTACAGTAACCTGCCCTTCCCTGTATTAAAAAGTAATAATCTGAGAGACAAAATTGTGGACATTCGAAATCAACCATCAGAAGCATGATAATGATTCACGCAACCAGAAACTAATGTTAATTCTCGTATGCACGATTATAAACAGTGAAAAGGGCAGGCATATAGAAAAAGGAAAGTTAATTTAAAACATTTTCGCTGCTAGAGATTCACTTCTATAAAGATAAGCATATGTTTTCGTGACACGGCCTGAATAGAAAACTGCAGGGAAAACTATTCCAATAAAAAAGGCTTAATGTGAATAAGAAGAAAAACGAGAATTCCATTCTGAATAATAAAGTTGAGAAACGAATAGAAACCAGTTTCCTAGCAACTGTGCGCGCCTTATTTCTATAATTTAATCAATTTTTTATGAAGAAAAGCAGGAAAATTTCAAAGATTTGTGCAATTTTAAAAGTAAAGATTCATTTACTTTAAAACAAAGACTGTAATATTTTTCAATAGATTAGTTGTTGAAACTTATCGAACTGGAACTATTGTTATGAATATTCCCTCCAGTATTATATTTTAATGTAAGTATAATATAAGGATAAGGAAGGAAAATATCATGGATAAGCAAAAAAATGATAGTAATAATTATAAACGCAGGAAAAAATAATTCTTAGTGTTGATCAGAACTGTATTTTAGCATAAAGTTTACGATAATCTCAAAGGTTATTGTGTAAATCATTGATACGACAAGCTGTAGGATACTGATACGACAAGCTGTAGGATACTGATACGACAAGCTGTAGGATTAAGTACGGAGGTTAACATTCTTATCGATTGTATCAAAAACTAATTAAGAATAATTTTTATTCCTAAAATTTCAGTGTCTCCTCCTATTACTGAGGTTAAAGGTTGTATCAGTCTATAGATGTTAAACTTCAGATTGAGAAATGGTGACTTATTTACTGGTATGAACATTTATTAAACATCTGATGTTTTATTTTACGAGTTGTGCATTTCGCTACAAAGTGGATATATTTTTCCTTCGTTCTTTGATTTTCATATCATATTACTTCATTTGTATTTAAATATTGAGAAGAGCGTAACAATAACACGATTTTTGAAACATAAACATAAAGTAAATGTTTTGACATTGTTTATCTGCACTCATTAAAACAGAGTTAAGTTTTCCTCTACATTCCACTAAACCCACTTTGAGATTCTTCCATATGACCATTTTAGGTATAATTGTGAAATAGCCAGAAAAATAAACCAATGCTTTAGACTTGTAATAAAAACAAGGATTATATACGAAACTCAAAACCTACGAAAAGTGCTCGCGAGGTTTAAACGTCCTTTTAAATGTCAAAAAAGTCTTTAAAAAAGATCGTAATCGCTGTTTTTGTTAAACAGAAGATACCCATTAGTAGTTTGTCGTTAACAGCTGTTGTAGTGCAAACTTGGGTATTTTTGTAGTTCGTCGTTAACAGCTGTTGTAGTGCAAACTTGGGTATTTTTGTAGTTCTTCGTTAACAGCTGTTGTAGTACAAACTTGGGTATTTTTATAGTTCGTCGTTAACAGCTGTTGTAGTGCAAACTTGGGTATTTTTGAAACGTTCAAGTAAGTTTGTCTGTTTGGTAAACTTCGCGAAAAGCTACACCAGAGCCACTTGCGCTAGCTGTCCCTAATTCTGAGGTGATAAATTACAGGTCCCTAGTTAACAGCACACACAGCCAACCCTCTGGTTGTTCTTGTTAAATCGATTTGTGGGATTTGACCGTCATTCTTATAACGTACCCACAATCCCAAAGAAGGGGAGCGCAGTTTTTCACGGTAATGGGACACTAATAATAACTTTTACCTCAGATCCTCAATCCAGCACGTTAAACATTTAATCTCAGATCCACAGTCCGGCATGCTAAATATAGGGTAGCGCTCGGGCCCCTCAAATAAGTATATATGACCATGGGCGCCCGCAGGAAGGGGCAAGAGGGTCACTGCCCCCCCCTAGATTTTCAAAAAGAAAGAAAATACAAGATGTGTAAAATTATTCTTCTATGTTATTGGAAAATCATAAGGCATTTGTATTTCGATTTCATATTTTTTTCAAAATTGAGTTACTTGACCCCCTAATTTTTTTCTGCGGACGCCCTTGCATATCACCTTAAACTTCTGACAAGGGTAAAGGCTAAAATCTACATAACTGAAACGGCGAGAATCAAATTTTAGTTCCGCCTGAAAACTAAGGTCGTGAATGTATTAGAACGTTGTTGATAAAGTGAAACCTATAGTTCAAAACGTTAGATAAAGCAAACAACTTGTAAGTGAAACGTGTTTTAACAAGTGTGTAGTCTAAAAATCGTTGAAATATATTTGATACAATTTTGTTTTGAATGTTTTGTGTCGTTAGGCGAAAATTGAAATGAGACTCCGTGAGTTAGATCTTTGTAATCGTTGTTACGATTTGTTTGTGTTTTTGTTTGTTTGTTGTAAAGCACAAAACCACACAATGAGCTAGCTATATGTGTCTGTCCATCGTGAATATCTAAACACGATTTTCAGCGTTATAAGCCCACTGACTTACCGCTGAGCCAACGGGGGCTATTGTTTCGAAACTGTAAAGAGTTGTAAATATTAATATCACCTACAATCGAGAATTGAAATAACTTGAAGTCAGTTTTATTTGAGAAGGTGGGGGGGAGGGCAGTGAAAGTTAATAGCGTGCAAGCACAATGGTGACTTTATCGAGATTCCGTAGATTTAAATATTTCATGTAATCTATTCTAAGAAAAGCATTGTCTTAGCAGGTTCAGTACAGAAAACTCGAATTTAATTATTTGTTGTTTCTTTTGATTATACACTGTAGAGATTTCTAAGAATGTATTTCTTTATATTAAAAGTTTTATTATTCAAATATTTGTAAAATTAAATACTTTGTTTCTCTCCAAACCACTTAGAAGTTTGAGTTTAGAATATATATTCATTATGATTTATAGCTTACCTATTTGCTTTTCTTTTCAGTGACGTCTTCACTATCGTAGACTCTCGGAATTAATCTTGTGAATATCAAAGAAGGGGACTTGTTTTAAAAAATACTAGCTCAAATCAGAGAGCGTACTTGTGATACCCGCAAAAAGTTGTTGATAATATAATAAATCTTCATCATTTTTCTCTTTTTGCTGTCAACCAAAGACTAACCTCATTTCATCACTGATAAAGAAAAATAATCATTAAAGGAACCCAAGCTGTTTACTTTGGTGAATGGTTTCATTCCTTTTTAGCACAATTAAAACTGATATTATATATTGTAATTAAAATTGTATGACAAAATACAGAAACTGAGAGAGCCATCCTCAAGAAAGTCCATCTTCAAGAAAGTCCATCCTCAAGAAAGTCCATCTTCAAGAAAAGAGAATAGACCATGCTGGGATAGTATAAAGAGTCCCCTAGAATGGGGAAAATAATATCCCTAGCTTGGCACAAAGACCCCCTTCCCCTAATAATAAAAAAAATCCACCTCCCCAAATGATCTGAAGGTCCTCCTGGAATGAGTAAGAAACGTAAAAAAAAAAAACTGGATGTACTCACTACAAAATGTATTCCAAATATAATCATGGTACTGGAGTAGATTTGGTATTAATATGTCGTATTGTAAACTGCAGAACGTTTCTTCCACCCCACATGCCATTTTCAGAAACAAGGTATATAAAACACTTTACTGAACCACAGTTACTGGCCTTTTTTTAATAATATAGAGCCCTAAACATCTTTTTTTATTCCTCTTCTCGTTTTAGTTCGAACAAATCAAATATACGATTCCCATTAACAAAAAGTATCTATAACTTGGGGATGTTGTAGAGTATTGTTTGTGGCAATAAAGTCGTATCAGATGTATATTTTAACACCAGGCCTACAAAATCAAAAAGTAAAAAACGTTCAGTTAAATTCCAAGTTAAAAAAAGAGCTTTAAAACCAGGAGATCTACTTTAAAACCGGAAGATCTACTTTAAAACCAGGAAATCTACTTTAAAACCGGCAGCTCTACTTTAAAACCAGGATATCTACTTTAAAACCGGCAGCTCTACTTTAAAACCAGGATATCTACTTTAAAACCAGGAGATCTACTTTAAAACCGGAAGATCTACTTTAAAACCAGGATATCTACTTTAAAAACAGCAGCTCTACTTTAAAACCAGGAAATCTACTTTAAAACCAGGAGATCTACTTTAAAACCGGGATATCTACTTTAAAAACAGCAGCTCTACTTTAAAACCAGGATATCTACTTTAAAACCGGCAGCTCTACTTTAAAACCAGGATATCTACTTTAAAACCGGGAGATCTACTTTAAAACCACGAGTTCTATTTTAAAACCAGGTACTCTACTTTAAAACCGGCAGCTCTACTTTAAAACCAGGATATCTACTTTAAAACTAGGAGATCTACTTTAAAACCGACAGCTTTACTTTAAAACCAGGATATCTACTTTAAAACCGGCAGCTCTACTTTAAAATCAGGAACTCTACTTGAAAACCCGATGAGAATAGTTGAGCAACCTACTTTCTTTACCAAGCTTCAAAACGTTCATTTAATAACTCCAAAAATCTCACGATAATTAAAATAAAAGGGACTTAGTATAAATGTTGAAATGTTATTAAGTCAGAGTTTGCATTGAAGCTTCTAGCTTGTTTGTTAGGAAGAAATCTTGACTCTCTCTTTTAAAAGAATATTCCAGACAACTAAGGGTATGTTAAACAACACTGAATCACATCCTTATAATGTCAGTAAGCTTGTTTTTCGTCTATATTTTCTCTAACACCCCAGTGTTTCAATACCCGCGGCGGCAGAGGACGAACGAAGTCAATTGTGTAGTTTAACAACATATAAACTAGTGTTTTTTTAATTTCATTTTCACTAGATAAGTGTTTTTTAGATAACTGATGTAAAAAAATTAATATTATGTGTAAAAACTTTCTGGCTTGTTGGTATTTCTATTAAGAAACAACACTTTTATTTTGATCTTCGTACAAACGTACACAAGAGTTATCTGTGGTAGTCGTCCCTAATTTGGAACTGATAGACTAGAAGGAAGGTAGCTAGTCAAGAGCATTCACCGCCAACTCTTGGGATATTATTTTCTGACCGAAAAGTAATATGATTGTCACTCTTTTAACGCACCCGCGAATTGCGGTTTGTTTTTTGCAGCAACGGGACGTAGACAATGGACCCTCTCCCCACAGTCTGGCATGCTATCCACTAGACCATGGCCGGCTCAAAAGAAAAAGCTAACATAATAAGACCTAAAAATACATTTGACATTATTTAAGAACTTCTTTGTATCACATATTTGTTTATGTTTTGGTTTGAATTCTTGTATTTTTTTGTCAAGGAGCTCCATATTCATTATTGTATTTGCTATGGTTGGTGGTGGTGGCTGGTGTTATAAATGTTTTTTAAAACTCTAAAGATGATATTAAACTGTTTTACAAGGATCTAGTTTTATCTTTGGTTCTTTAAAAAACGTGATTACGTTTCGCAGTTAGACGAAATAATGGCCAACACATATATTTTTACCTGAATCTCAGCGTTAAAACACTGTACATATACAAGTGATGAATAGTTCGGTATCAGTCAGCCCTAGAAATATGATACAACAGTCTACAAGTTGCCAGAGCTTACTTTTTGTTCCGTAGGAAGACTAAAGCTGAATATTTGATATCAATGACGAGTTAGAATATCCCTTTAAGACATGAAACTGATGATGGTTTAGAACAGTGGTCTCCAAATTACGGCCCACGGGCCAGATGCGGCCCGCGACTTCGGTTTAGCAGGACCGCCAACAGTTTATTAAAGCAATAATATAATTTTTTAATATTTTATATAACAAATAAAACGTAATTGAACAAACTCCAATCTGATCATGTATCCATCCCTACTTAATTCTACCACGACCCCTCCGGCTCGCGAAGCCTAAAAAGATCTTACTCCCGGCCCTTGTCCAAAAAACATTTTGAGACCCCTGGTTTAGAACATCCCCTCGGACAGTAAATAATATTGAATCTATAAAAATGCAAGGTACCTCATAATAATACAAATTTTATTTAATCACAGTTACGATTACTTAATTTCCTTCAAGTTTTTTTTAATTCTTTATAAGAATAAAACACCATGGAAAAACTAAGCGATTAATCTTTATCACATGAAACGCCTGTTTGAGAAACGTTTCTGAACTATTTGTTTTACTCGTTATTGCGAAACTGTTTTTCTCAACTTTAAAAGACTGGACGTAGCGATACGTTGTCTTAGTCTCGAAATAAACTTCCTTGTTGATTTATGATGAATGCTAACCTCGTGCGTTATTTCTGCTTATTTTACTGTTTCGTGAAATTCTTTGATCATACATTCAACATTATAGTGAACTACACTTTCAATGCAATCTACTATAATAACCATGAGAGCAATTAATCGTTGTCATGGTTAGAATAACTTATACCATCAACTAAGTATAATAGTTAAGCTAATATTTATTATTACTAGCTATTAATTAATAATTACTCATGTTCTACGTTTCAGCTAATAATCTACTGCCATCTTCAGGGAAGTCCTAGAAAGAACTGTTTGTGATTGTAGGCCGGGATTCGATCCTGGGTCTTATTGTTAGAAAGTTTGTTTGAAGTTAAGCACAAAGCTACACAATGGGCTATCTGTGCTCTGCCCACCACGGGTACATAAATAACCCTCATAATAAAAATACGGATTAAATATAAAATATAAAATAAAAATTATAAAAATTAATATGTTGTACATGTTAAACGTTTAACCAATACTTTAATGAAATTAGAATTAGACAAAGAATAGAACTTACAAAATACAAAAACTCTTTCTGTCCAGTATATGCAAAACCTTATGTAATCCTACCTAACAACGTCTAGTGACCAATGAACATTTGGTTCTGAATGTAATCCCACCTAACTATAAAATGCCACGACACATTACTGTTTAAACGCAGAAAACAAATGTTGAAGCATTAGAAACCAATACGCCTAACGTTTGTGATACAGATCACGTAAAGTGCAGATGTTTTTTCCCCCACGTTCCTCTTAACTTGTCCATTTCGAATTCAAAGTCAGGGGTATGTAAAAATAGCATTTCAGACTTATATTTTTCCTCCCATAAGTCACTAGCCAAGAGGCCTTTCGTTCAATACCAGGACTCATCAGATGGATTGGACAATGAGAGACAAACTATTCTATGAAACACTATTTATATCTACAGTATAAGGCTTTAAAAGTTCTGTAATGTCAAATTAAGAAGAATATGGTGGGAAAAAAATCTACATTTTACGTTTGTTTGTTTTTTCATCACAAATGCTACGACACATCCTACAATTTAATAACAGCGTCGGGTAAGCAGGGCAGTACAAATTATACATTAAATGACTATAGTTATGAACATAAAAGAAAAAGAAATGACATGAAAAACAAAGAATAACTTCTGTTTTCAGTTATGATTATCGGAAACTGATAATATACCTGGATCATTAAGCAATGTACAAAATCTATACGGTCCTGACTCTATAGTGTTACGTATTAGAATTTAAAATGGTCGGAAATTGTAATTTAGAATTAGTAGTTAAATTGTATTTAGGATTTAGCAGTTAAGTAAAAGCCGATATATTGTCAGTTTATGATGTTTGCCAACAAGAATGATAGACACGGTTTTCTTTTTAACACAAATACATTTAATATACACACAACAATACAATTTACAATAACAATTATT